AATGGTCATAATCGGCGCGGGGGCAGATCGTCCCTCCTTATCCGGCTACGGCCTTTATATGTAGAATCTTATTTTGGATTTTATATATAGACCAGATCAGAAAAATAAGTTCTTTGGGAGTTTGGTTTGTCGAATTTTGTAAGCTTCCCGAGAGCTAAGCAAAGCGAACTCATTAAGAGTTTGATTTCCCGAATTTTATAAGCTTCCCGCAAGCTCAGCAAAGCGAACTCATTAAGAGTTTGATTTCCCGAATTTTATAAGCTTCCCGCAAGCTCAGCAAAGCGAACTCTCTAGAAGTTTGGTTTGTCGAATTTTATAAGTTTCCCAAGAGCTCAGCAAAGTGAACTCTTTAAGAACTTAATCGGAGCTTTGTGCTGTGTGGGGAAGTTCTGTAGCTCATATGTACAAAATGCTTACGTGTCCCCCCAAATCGGATTACTTGCACGAATAATACAAAACCTTTTGAGTTATGATTAAAAGCCTAGGAAAAAAGAAATCCTTACGACTGTAAATTATGGTAATTCGTACGCTTAGCTAAGGCAAAAATTGCGTCTAGCAGTAAGTGTCGTATTTTGCAACAGATGGCACTTCAATAAGTTAGATAAGAACATGAACATGTTTGAGTGAGACAAAAGAGAATGTGAAAAGTTCATTTAGAGATACCACTGACACCGAAGAATCTGTTTTATCGACCTCGAGCAAATTTTTCCGATTTTCTAGCATCGTCTTAAGAAACCACTATCTCGGCTTTCAGGAATCGCAGGACATTGTTCCTTAGCGCGTTTTCAAGAGTAAGGCCTTTACTTTAAAATGACATAAGTGAAATTTTTCGTCATTCATTAAACTGTTTTTTCATGAAAACCAAAAGCAGTGAGTGTTAAAATCTTACAAATGTTACGACCTTGCAGCTTACCGTGGGCAAAGGAACAATGAGACGAAAAACGTCATCACATTAATTTTAAAGCCAAGAACATTTCCTTTAAAATGGCATAAAGAAAATTGTTCTAGCTTGCCTAGGAGCTAAGTTATCAGGTTCCAAAGTAGATCCTATTTTTTGCAAGATTTTGATTAAGTACCACTGGCATTCGCGTTATCCGATGTGCACCATGAGGAGGTTGCTGGGTCGGAATTTGCACATCATTGTGTGCGTGCGTGCGTGCGTGCGTGCGTGTGTGTGTATGGTATATAAATGGGTGGTTGTTAAATGTGGATAGATGAATAGGTGTATGTGCCCTACTACTCAATATGAGGTATTCTCGCCCCTTCGGCGAATCACCTCAAGCAGTCTGTTCCTCATATTGATACATCTACTGATTTCATTTTGAGGAATTTCCTAACAAATCTCTTGGAGAATTCTTTCGAGTTTTGCGAGCGTTGTTGGCTGTCTTGGATCATAATCTCTCCACCGACTAATTGTAAGTCCCAGACATGTTCAATAGGATTCAGTTTTGGGCTTACTGCTAGATAATTGAGAACCGTGATATCGTGATTCTGTAGAAACTTACTCTTGTCAGCGCAGCGTTATGAGAACGAGTATTATTCTGTATAAGAATAAAACGGTCTCAAATCACAATGACTAAACGTACAAACTTAGCGGTAATTCCTCCTCCGGGTTTAACAGCAGCCCGATATATCGATGAAATTCTTCGGCCATAAGTTCTACCCATCCAACAAAGATTTGGAGACCATTTTATTCTTATGCAGGATAATGCTCGTCCTCATAACGCTGCGCTGAAAAGACAGTTTCTATAGAATCACGATATTACGGTTCTCAATCATCCAGTATTAAGCCCAGACCTGAATCCTATTGAACACGTCTGGGACTTGATGGGTCGTCGAGGAATAGACTGCTTGAAGTGATTCGCTGAAGGGGCGGGAATACCTCATATTGGGTAGTATGCGCACATACACCTATCCATCTATCCACATTTCACAACCACCCGTCCATCTACCACGCACACGCACACGCACACGCACACGCACACGCACGCACGCACGCACGCACGCACGCACGCACGCATGCACGCACACAATAATGTGCAAACTCCGACCCAGCAACCTCCTCGTGGTGCACATCGGATAACGCGAATGCCAGCGGTACTTAATCAAAATCTTGCAAAAAATAGGATCTACTTTGGAACCTGATAACTTAGTTCCTAGGCAAGCTAGAACAATTTTCTTTATGCCATTTTAAAGGAAATGTTCTTGGCTTTAAAACTAATGTGATGACGTTTTTCGCTTCATTGTTGCTTTGCCTATGGAAAGCTGCAAGGTCATAACATTTTTAATATTCTAACACTCTCTGCTTTTGGTTTTCATGAAAAAAAGTTTAATGGAACGAAAAATTTTACTTATGTCATTTTAAAGTAGAGACCTTATCCTTGAAAACGCACTAAGGAACAATGTTCTTCTAGAAGCCGAGATATTGGTTTTTTAAAATCGTTAAAATTTTAAAGTGCTCCTCTAATTTTTTTGTGTAGTATACATATACATATTAAATATATATACAGATATTATACATATACCAAATTAACTTAAAATAACAAGGACTCCTTAAATATAAATAATGTGTTTAAAAATGGGCTGTTAGGAGTCGGCGCGCTAAATGGTGCGCAAATACATATGTGAACGGCTTGTATTAGACAATAACATAATTCACTTAACTAATACTTCTTACAAGCGTTTCGGTTCCGTTCGAGCCATTTTCAGTGTAACACCACTCAAGTACTTCATCGTGCATTCACCGTCGTTCGAAACTGAGGATGTCCATCGTGGATGCCAATTCTCATGATTAAAAGCTTCAAAAGCTGGTTGATTAGCCGGATGGGAGACTATGTATGTGATATATTAAATTAATATGTAATGTCTTGGTTACAAGGTCTTTGCATAAATAAGAACGGCTAAGAGAACTTACTTCAGGATCGCACACCGGATAAAACATTTCCGCATATGACATAAATAAATCAAGTCGAGTACACAATAAGTCACGCGAATAAAGTTTAAAACAATAAACTAGATTGAAAGAATAAAAAAACTTGTAAAATTAGATTCAAGTATATCATTCTGGTCGGAGCACGTCTATTCTTTACGAAGTCACAAGTAAAAGTGACATTTTAATAACAAACGAGGACAAAAGTCAAACTAATTTGTATAGAGAGGCACAGGCAATGTTTATTAATCAGAGAAATGTAAGATTGATGTAATCCCTCTGTATCCGTTTGCATATTTAAACCATTTTGTTGTTGTTGTATATGTATCATTTTTGAAATTAGTCTTTTATTAAAAATTTTTTCAATATCCAGGATCTCTATATTTTTCCAATCAAATTCGTGGTGCATCCTATGGTCAGTGATTACAGATTGATTGGTTGTGTTCTGTCGAATATGATTTCTATGTTCTTTTATTCTCGTTTTTACTTGCTATGTGTCTGACCGACATAGGAAGCATCACAATTATTACAATTAATTTTGTACAACGTTCTTATTTAATAATTTCGGGAGAGGATCTTTATGGACCTTGATAAATCTTTGTAATTTATTCATGCTGAAAAACGACAATTTAGTATCAGTATTATTAATAACGTTTATAAATTTATCTGAAATTGTTTTAATATATGGTACTGTGAACCAATTCCGTTTTAATCTAACACACGTATTTTTTGGCATTGGATAATTGTTAATTAAGTGTTTTAATCTATAATTTATAGTTTTGAAAATAAAATCAAGTGGGTAGTCGTTCTTCAGTATTATTGAGTATTAGATTCTGCTTGTCTATTTTTTTATTTCATGTTTCGTAAAGTATATATATTCCTTAAGGCTGTAAAAGCATAATGTTATGTACGCGCCCTAATGTTGCGATGCGAGCGCGGCCCTAAGCGAGGATTTCCGTTACTGTACCTTTTTTTGTTTTACTCACTGCCCTACGTTCTGCGCTGCCGCACTCTTGTCTTTTACGTTACGCGCAATTTTGGTTTACTCAGTTTTGTCAAGTGTTATTATAATAAAACAGTGTTTGTTCTTTATAACGGAATAATTGTTTTTGGGACATCCTCTCCCGTTGCTGGATTCTCCTGAAGCCGTTCAGGAAAGATAATCTTAACAAGTATTACTTAAGAATTGAATTAAACATAACATTACTTAGCGTAGTGAGTTCCGCACAAAATTTCTAAAATTTTGTCTCGCGAATAAGATTGTACCACATCTGTACGGCATACACAATACTTTACGCCAATCCCAACCTTTTTCATAGCAGATCTAACACTAACTATATCAGATTGAAAGAGCAGTATATTTCACGACTTTTAAAAATCGAATTGAATGATGGGTATAAGACAATTTGACGTAATTCTCGCACTCAGATTCTCCATCTTGTGCGCAACATTACGGGTCAACTGCCTTATCATATTTATAATTCCTTTTCTGTAAACAAGAAAATATATTTCGCTCGATTTTCGCCAGAGGGGTAGGATTGACAGCAAAATTAATTTTGTCTCTTATTTCTATGGTAAATTGTACACGGAGAGAATTTTTTTTTAATTTACTCTGAAAATCATGTTAATTGTGGAACAATATAGTACCTATTTAGGCAAATTTTATTGTGCACTACAATAAATTTTACAGTAGTAAAATACAGTAAAATTTATTGTAGTGCACAGTAAAATTTGCCTAAATACTATATTGTCCCACAATTAACATGATTTTCAGAGTAAATTATAAAAAAATTCTCTCCGTGTACAATTTACCATAGAAATAGGAGACAAAATTAATTTTTTAGATACGACATTAATTGTTAAAGACAATAATATTAAATTTGACTAGTATAAAAAATCCACTTTTTCGGGGAGGTATTTGAGCTATTTGTCCCAGCACCCGGTTTCTCAAAAAAGAGGCACAATCATAGGAATGATTAACAGGAACTTTCTTCTTTCACATCCAGAGTTTCATCAAAAAATTTTTGAATTCATAGTGGATGTCCTACTAAAGAACGACTGTCTACTTGATTTTATTTTCAAAACTATAAATTATAGATTAAAACACTTAATTAACAATTATCCAATGCCAAAAAATACGAGTGTTGGATTAAAACGGAATTGGTTCACAGTACTATATATTAAAACAATTTCAGATAAGTTTAGAAACGTTATTAATAATACTGATACTAAATTGTCGTTCTTCAGCATGAATAAATTACAAAGATTTATCAAGGTCCATAAAGATCCTCTCCCGAAATTATCAAATAAGAACGTTGTATACAAAATTAATTGTAACAATTGTGATGCTTTCTATGTCGGTCAGACACGTAGCAAGTAAAAACGAGAATAAAAGAACATAGAAATCAAATTCGACAGAACACAACCAATCAATCTGTAATCACTGACCATAGGATGCATCACAATCACGAATTTGATTGGGAAAATATAGAGATCCTGGATGCTGAAAGAATTTTAAATAAAAGGCTAATTTCAGAAATGATACATATACAACAACAACAAAATGGTTTAAATATGCAAACGGATACAGAGGGATTACATCAATCTTACATTTCTCTGATTAATAAACATTGCCTGTGCCTCTCTATACAAATTAGTTTGACTTTTGTCCTCGTTTGTTATTAAAATGTCACTTTTACTTGTGACTTCGTAAAGAATAGACGTGCTCCGACCAGAATGAAATACTTGAATCTAATTTTATAAGTTTTTTTATTCTTTCAATCTAATTTATTGTTTTAAACTTTATTCGCGTGACTTATTGTGTATTCGACTTGACTTTATGTCATATGCGGAAATGTTTTATCCTATGTGCGATCCTGAGGTGAGTTCTCTTAGCCGTTCTCATTTATGCAAAGACCTTATAACCAAGACATTACATATTAGTTTAATATATTGTTACGTCCAATCCCCGGGAAATGATTTATCTTTGAAGTAAGGAAAAATCAAAAGAGAGTCCCGTTTAGGAACGATTCGAAGGAAGGAGGGGGGATACGGAAGGACGTAACCAGATAGCCTGTCTCGCAAATAGGCGCGGTGGCATATGTGCGAGTCGAAGGCGCTTAAACCGGACTTGACATGCGAGTCAACGTCCTGAAGGGACGATATTACTTGATCTCAAGCCAGCGCGATCGTTGGTCCTGTTTTGGTCAAGGAACTTAATCCTTTTGACCCAGGATCGGACCAGTGCGATTTTCTGCA